CAGATTCCGGGGGATTCCCAACATTAGGGGTACCTTGTAGGGGTACATAGGGGTACCAATAAAAGAAGGACTCTTTTAGGGTCTATATTGGGGTCCCCCCCTATTTGGGGAAACTACCTCGTATGCGTATGTATACAGAATACGCAGATACTTCTGACGTGTGAAGTATCTATGGTTTATTGACTGTGTAGGAATACACTATATGGATAGTGTGGCGATTGGCAAAGTTGGGCATGCTTCTTCTGGAAGCAAGGGTCCCACCACCTCAGGGGTCAAATCGGGCTCCCTCTCTGTACGCTTACTAAACTCGCAGATATAATCTGTATGTTAAGCCGGCGGCATCCATATGCAGCTGATTTTTCACATCTTTTAACTTGAAAGAGATTGTCTCGATGAATTTGAGGATGCAGGCCACTTCATAACCTTGAATCGAGGTATTGTATTGTGACGAGCAACAGGACTCAACTTTCCCCAGCTCATTAGCAGAAGACTTGGAAAGGACGTCCCTCTTCAAGATTGGTCATTGGCAGGTTTAATGCACTTGAGGTGATGAGGGTGCATATTCGATATCAAGTGTCATGACCATGCCATGTCCATCACTCATGTTGTTGTTACGCTGCTTTCCTTCTTGTGGCCACTCTTGTTGGTCAAGCATTTGGAATGCACTTTCCAGAGTTCTCAACGTTATCCTGAAAACTTTTTCGAGAAGGCCAATGGCAGGCTAGTCCACCTGAAAATCTGATTTCTGAGCACCATAAACCCTAAAACCTCAGACACCGAAGTCCTCTACTACATCCAAACTTTGAACCCTACTTCCCTAAAAGCTGTACCTTAAGTCCTAAATCCCAGGAGCAGCTTGCATCTGCTTTGGATACGATCTTTGTAGCCAACTTCCTGCGGCAGTCGAGGCAGCTTCAGATCTATATGGTGGCCCCCCAAATTAGGAGTACCTGTAAAGGGGTTTGCAGGGGTTATGTAGGTGGATTTAGGGTTTAGGGGTTTCCCAAAATTAGGGGTCCCTATCATTCATAATGACTATAGTATTTTGGGATCTTTACTGGCCTCCTCCTACTTAAGGAAACTATCCTGTAGCAAGCATATTGGTCCAACTGAGTCCCTGTGCAGATTGACATAGATGCCTTTGTGTAAGTCTTGGATCCTAAGAGGGTCCTTGATTGATCCAAATCCATTCTCTTTATGCAGGCTTTTTCGTACTGGCAGCACCGAGGGTACATGTACCCAATAATTGGGTACTTTGGATTTTGTTACTCGTACCTTTTGTACAGGGCTTTAGGAAGTATATGATAATTGAGTATTTGTACTCTCAGGGATTGCAATCTGTCGCATTGAATGACCTCGCAACACAACTGGTGGGTCTTGTAAATGGAAGCAGAGGCCTGAGGTTGGGGTTTGTGGGTTCCAGGGGAGATTTACAGTTCATGAGGCAAACCTTTATGCCAGGTAGGATCTCCAAACACAGTGAAACAGAGGGTATAGCGTAGATCAGGTAAAGCATGATTTCCTCCACCCACTGTAAGTTAGTATAGTCCCCCTTCAGTAGATAGAATATGGGATATATGGAGATCTTATTGTAACATACCCAAAGCCATATTCCATCTACATGAGGGGGACTATAGGTCTATGGCAGGATGCAGCGCAGGGCCCAGGTTTTGATTTGGTGCCTGAGGGGGTGGGCCTAGTCTGGTCGGAGGTCTATAGGAATCTACAGTTCAGACATATTGACATACGAGCTTTCTTTGCGTTTCTTCCTAGAGTCAACAGCCAAACAGTCGTGATATCCTGTGTAGCGCGGAGAATGTTGGGTCAGAATGCCAAATTCTTGGATTCTCTAACCGACTGACGGGAAAACTGCTGCGCCTCAGCTGCTAGTCGTTGAGTGATCTAGTTCTAAAAGCACGTAAAGCGAAGGGGTAACTTGAATCATTCTTCAAGGAGAAAGATTAACACAAAACCGGAATGGTGTAATGTCTAGATCTTGCTTCAATTTTTGCGGTTCGCGAACAGCTCGACTTCATTGTACAGTCTCATCCCCCACTCCCTGGTATTCAGGATGAAGGGTCTTGAAACCTTGCAAGCCTAAACCATGGAGCTCTTGACCTGTACTGCAGCAGCCAGCTATCCCGAAACTCCGTGCTTTACTTGTCCAATATGAGTGCAGTTTAAGTATCATTGTTGTTGACACATAGCTCATGAAACCCCAATTCCCGACCAGGCGAGAGCAATCGTGCTCTCTGCCGAGCACCTACAACTTGCTGCTGTATGCACTCGTGAGGTGCTGGCGGGGTTCACGTTCGGATGTTTTGGCATTGGTTGTGTTTCTACAAGAGTTGGGTCCCGTTTGATCCTATGGATAAAGCCACCTTCAGTGCAGCGTTTCTTACCTCCACGGGAACTTCGCCAGAGGCTTGCAAAGGCTTTATAGGAGCCTCATCCCTGTAGAGCAAGAGTGTTTCCCCTCAAGAGATCCATGCTTGAGACCGGCCAAGGCCTCCGCTACACCTATCCGTTGCTCAAATCCTTTTCCTAAAGTCCAAAAACTTGAGAATGGCGGCGTGACGAGGAGTGAGTGAACACCAGAACCCCTCCTTGCTACGGGTTGGGGGTAGGAACCCTAAACCCTTGAGCATAGTTGGCTTGGGTGGAGTGGGACTACCCACTGCGCAAGCTCGCGGCAGGGTGTGCCCCCCTATATGTAAAGAAAAGGCGCACACCCCGCGTCCACTGATTCACACCCTACACCCTGAACCCTAAACCCTGAACCCTCAACCCTATATGGGTAGTTGTCAAAATTATGGTCCCTTTTGGGGTCCCTATTATAGTACGGCCCCTAATATTTAGGGTACCCAACAAGGGACCATAATTTTGACAACCACCCATATCATCCCCATCCTTTGACCCCTCCACCGCCTAAGGGCTGAGCTCTTCGCCGACTTGGAGGCCATGGACATCCCAGTTCCCGAGGCTGGCCTTAGTATAATATATGAGGGTTTAGGTTTTAGGTTTGGGTATTAGGGTTTAGGTTTTAGAGTTTAGGTTTTAGGGTTTGGGGTTTAGGTTTTAGGGTTATAAGGTTTAGGTTTTAGGGTTTAGGTCCGGTATTAGGGTTTGGGGTTTAGGTATTAGGGTTTAGGGTTTGGGGTTTAGGCTTTAGGGTTTAGGGGCCTAGATAATTTGTCCCAGGTTCGCTGTGTACTTAGGGATTTCATAGGGGTTATAGCTTTGGGGCCTTCATATATGGGGATTAAGGGCGTTGGGAATGTCACCCTGAGAATGCAGAATAAAATCAACAATGAAATGGAGACTGCGGTTATATTAGGGATGATTACCGCACATATGGTCCTGTACCTCTTATACACGTATAGCATGGGTACCCTGAGGATCAAGACTGCCTCTAGCTGGACTTTGCCTTTTGCCCCTCATGATGGTGAACCGGATGGAAAAGAAAATGGAACATTAAACGGGGACAAGGTTTGTATATAATGGGATAATTGCCAGTGTCCTCATGTGTGGTCATTGATGTTAATTTCAGCGTTCGCGCCACTGTCGCTACTACGGTTAGCATTTCTTGTTGAAAAATGAGCTTACGGACAATATCATTGCAAGAGCTTGTTTGCATGAGATGCGGATTTGTGAAAGTTACGGCCTCATGTTGGGCCGTTTTATGACAGGGGCCCAAAAACGGGCCATAATTTCAGCAGCCCCCATATGATGTTGCTCCTCATTGCAGAGGCCACTGTCCTTGCTTGTCAAGGAACCCTTAGACCTTAAACCCATAAACCCTAAACTGGTACAACATCAGCAATAGGACTCCTTGGGAATGACGGACTGGGCTGCAAGGCACGCTACAGTTTGATATGAGCCACGGACGAAAGTTAGGTTTGGGGGACTCATAGCGGGATGTATACGAGGTTTAGGTGGGATCTTTAAGGAATATTCTATGACTTTAGTCCAGGGCTCATGTAAAAGATATATCCAGAGAATGAACTGGTGTGCTGCATGTGTTAAGGGCATGTGTTGGAAAAGATTCGGGCCCGGCGCCGTCTCCTGTCAAGCCAACATCCTCATGCTCACTATTCAATGCAAAGTCCAGCACCCTAAAGTTTCGGCAGAGTGTTCCAGACTCTTGGCTCTGGACTTGGCAAAGCTTGTACCCTGAAGCTGACACACTGGACCCTGAAGAGCAAATCAACACCCCGAAGCCGTGATTGAAGTCCCCTGCTGGCTCAGCTTCCACCACTCCGCAACGCTCAGAATTTACGAGCGCGGCCTTCGGTTGAGCTGGATCTGTCTTTAGCAGGCATCTTGTTTGTAGCAATATTGATGGAGGACAAGGACAAGGAACAAGAAAAAGAACACACAGAATAATAACAGCAGCGACAATAAGAATAAGGATGGCGTCATAATCCGGGCGGCAAGAAGCGAGATTAGGGCACCAGTAGAACTTGGTGAGTTTGGTGCAGTTCGCAGATCCTGCCTGGATCTTCGGTGTGACCTTGACTGCGGTGAATGGGGTGAGCCTGGATGTATGTAGTTGACGGGTACGGGCGTGTCCCGGGCATTGCAGCTTCAGACACATACATGGAGGGTCTGCAGTGTTCTAAAGGCGATAGGGATTGTTGCTGTGCCTATCCCAGGAGCCGAGCACTGTAGATGAGTTCTGTTGAGATGGGCTCCGGGAACCTGAAGTTAGGATCAGGCTTCTGCCATAATTTGTCTGGCTCCATAGCCTCTGGAATTTGGAACAGCAGCCTCTGGAATTGGGAACAGCCCCAGTGTCATCGCAAGTCCAAGTGTACTTTAAAAGTGGGTTGCAGGTAATTGCGCCTGTATCTACTTACCTTACTGGTTGCTAGTAGGGAAGAAAGCAATATATTCCCCATATAACCCCTCTAAAATATATTCCCTTACTATTCCCTATCATATTCCCTTCTTCCCTAGGAACCTCATAAACTTCTTCCTTAGATCCCCAGAGTCCTGAGGCCTGGGCCCTGGCTAAGACGAAGCCTTCGCCTGAAAATCGCGAGCGCGGTGGCGGGGAGGCACGGGGCTTCATATACCGAAAAGGGTTTAGGGTGGGTGGGAAGTTAGGGTTAGGGATGATGTCGGGTTTGGGGCTTAGGGCTTAAGGTGTATGGCTTAGGGCGCATAGGTTTTCGGGTTTAGGATACCTTATTGGGGCGTCGGGTCCCAAGTACCATAATTTGAGTTGCTTGCGGGCCATAAAGCCTTAGTGTTTGGGTCCATGGACATCGCAGGATCAGGGGTGTTTTCTGCCAGGTAGGGAAAGCACAAGTTACAACAAGGTCATATCAATAGTGTTGCGTATAAGCCTCCCTAGCAATCAACCACCTAAGAGCTGTCCGTGAACATCTAATGGCACCTCACGGGGAAAGTTGCTCTTTCGGGGGTGCGGGGATTACATCATTGATAACATTGGATGAATGTGTGTGTATATATGTACACACATACATTCATTACAGTGGTCTAGGGCCAGTTGATGACGGTGTTAGCAGCGGCCGTTTCCTCTTCAAGTATTACCGGACAACACGCGGAAACTAGCAAATGTGGGCGCAAAATTACCCTGCGCAAGGCGCAAAAGGATTGTGCAATTTGTGTCCTGACGTGCAGCAAGGTGCAAGGCTTCGTCTGGAGCAATGAAAGCAAGAGAAACAAAGGATAACATAACCATAAGGTCCAGAACTTGGAAAACAATGATGAGAGGAGAATACACCAATGGCAACAGCTCGGTCAAGCAAAAAGGATGCCGGGTAGTTGTACAACTCAAGAATGTTTCATGAATACGCAGGTTTGTAACAACAAGAAGAACACATACATTTCAAGGTGAAATCTTTTGGAGCTCCAAATTGGAGAAATGTATCTTACAGGGGTTTGAGTAAGGAATATGGGAATGCATTATACAGGGTTTACACAGGGATTATATTCCCTTCTTCCCGGCTAAGAACTAGTAAGCAAGTTGCACAAACATACTGGAGGTTGGAAGTGCTTCAGAGTCCCCGAACTAGGAGGATCCCCAAGGTTAGACCCCAAAAAGGACCAACATATTGATGCAGAATCCCGCATAGTCCCTAGGTCCCTGCAGTCTCCCAGCGTGTTCAATTCTTGCAGGATATGGACAAGCTGGCCCAGCTAGATGCAGTGCTCCTTTGTGCCGCCATTGAGCCGCTCGCCTTTTGTTTTGAGAACTTGTGGAAATCTCAACCCCAAAGGATCCAAACGTAAAGCGCCGCCAGTCGCAAGCCTCAGAACTGATGAGCAGCAGACGCTGCAAGCCGGTCCGAAGCATCTGTGATTTGAGGCGGCAAGTGTGCTTCTGTTGTGTCGCAAGCCAGGAGATTCTCTTACCAGCCTATGCTCCGGAATGTTACAATCCCAGTCTTTTTGATTCACAGACATGTCTTTTGAGATAAATTGCAGACATCCTGGTAGAACAGCGTGTGTGTCGTTCATTGTCGTTCCTTAGCATGACCTACCCCTTTTATTGACCTCTCACGCTACACAGCACAACAAGCACAACAAGCACAACAAGCACAACAACCACTCTCTCTCTCTCTCTCTCTTTCTCTCTCTCTCTCTCTTTCTCTCTCTCTCTCTCTCTCTCTTCCTCTTCTTTGTCTTCTTCTTCTTCTTCTACATGCTGTACGCCGTCCACTAGAGCCTGCTTCGGGGCTTCGCTCCATAGCACTCACCAGACTTTGTTTATAGGATCCACAGATTTCCCTTGCTTAAAATTGCTTTCCTCCCTAATTGCTCATGTGGGTTGTGAAGCTCTCCATGGCGGCAAGTTTTCCCATCAGTTGCCATCATCATGCACTATCTCACTATCCCCTAGACCTATCATGGCTGTGGATGAAAAATCCGTCTTGCCGCGGGCCCCCCCCACACTCCTTGTTACATGCCTCTTTGTCGCGCCCTGTTGTTACATACCCTTGTCGCGAATGCTGAGCACAGGTATGCTCCACAAAAGAATCTTGTCGCAAAGGTGCTCCTAGGTTGAGTACGATGGAGTGCATGATCGTTCTAGTCAAGCGCTTTTGAGCATCCAATTCCCAGTACTCTGGTCCTTGTGGGCACCAACCATGCATGAACCCGAGCCCGCGCCGGGGCGAAGCCACGACGCATCCCCTCATGGGCTGCGTGCTGGCATGCCCCCATAGAGAAGAATAAGATGCTGTATACACCTTCGTCGGAATCCGCTGACAAGCTGTATCAAGGGTCCAAGTGCCCAAGTAATTCCAAATATTGGGGGGAATACTGCAATCAGGAGGTTTCTGGTACCCAATGCTTGTGTATTGGGACCCTCAGGGCTATCCACCAAGGCTCCGCAATCCGGAGGTCATGGCGACAGAGGCTGAGTTGAACCCCCTGGAAGCTTGCCTGATTCAACCTGCTTGTGGAAGCGGTAAAAGTGTAAGTTCCTGTGGTATTCGGTTTTTGGGGAACGACGGAGTAGATCTTTGTCGTGGTACTGAATCACCAAGTTCCATTCCTATATTCCCTACTAACCACCGGCAACTCAAGGGGCAGGAGGTTTTGTGGCTCACGGTTTCGGGGCATATGGTTACAGTGGGTTCGGCCTCACGAGTCTGAGTTTTGCGGGGTTGGGCCGTTGCAGGACGAATTCCCATCCTATGAGAGCTACCAAGACACAGTAGCTACGGAACTGGAACTAAATGAGCTATATTCTAAACTCCTGAATGGGCGCTATATAGGGGATGATATATGGGGGGCTAATATAATGGATATTAAGGGGGATACTAGGAGTTTAGACTATAGCTCATATACTTGTAGCAACACCACTTGGCAATTCTCCTAGGTGACTCATGGGCTTGAAGTGAGGCTTTACCAAAATCGTTCTGCGCAGACTCTTGCCTGGACGCATGATGTGGTGAGCGCCTTTACACCCATCATCTTGGTTTGTATCTTTCCGAATATATTTGATTGTCTGCCTGTGTTTGTCCTGTCAGCTCTAACGCTCCTGATCATCGTCATTTGCGTCCTAACGTGAAAGGTGGTGATAAAGGCCATCAGCACTATAATGCATTCATTGGCCGCAGAGGTGGCAAAACTTGCTCCAGTGATCTTTCTGTGCCCACCCTCCAAAATCCAAGGAAAGCATTGTCAATGCCAGATCCTCAGAAACAGCGGAGTTCTGAACTACGCAGGGAGGTTATACTGGAGTTACTGATGGAGGCGTGTGCGTGGTGCGGCAGTGCATCGTGGCACTTGAAGGGAGAGTCCTCTAACTGCACCTTTCCTAGGAAGCAAACCTTTTGTACATCCGAGCGTGAAAACCAAGCCGTGGAGGCCTGGAAGTCCAAAGGCAGCCTACGCAGTCTAATTACGAAGTTGATGCATTGCTGTAGCTTCAACTGGGGCGATGCTGTAGGACACAATCACTGAGCAGCAGGCTTCCAATTATCAAGGCCTCCATTATTGAAAGGTTCCTACTCTACAAACACCTTGCAAAGTTTTTTCCAATGCGTAGCCTAAAACCCTAAACCCCTAAACCCTAAGCCCCTAAACCCCTAAACCAGGCCTTTGCACGAGCATCCTCGGAGCATTTTTGCTCGGCAGTTAGAGAAAGTCCTCTCGCCGCGCAGTCGAAGCCATGATGGACTGTTTGCCTTGCTTGCCACAGCTTCGCAACAACGCGAACCCGCGGGATCAGCAGCAACTTTTGCTCCAGAAGCTTCTGAGCCGAGGCCCAGGGGATCATTCAACACATGCATCTACATCATGTCTGCTGCATTTAAGTAGTGTGGGCAGTGTTAACTATGAAAAGGATGATGAGTGATAAGCACCATGGTAACTTGGTCTTGGGCTTGTAGGCTGAAGGGCACGGAGAGTCAGGCCCCCGCGTTGCTCTCAGGGTGTTGATAGTACTGTACATGGCCTTTTGCAAAGCTGTCTACACTATCGCTGCAGCCCTGGCAATTTGGCAAGTCCACGGCTCAACCGATGGAACCCCATCATTGCACACTCCTAGAGAAGCTGTTTCGACCATCGGTGCTACATCTGCAAAAGTCCCCACAATTATGATGAAGCTAATGTTTTTTAGGCTAGGTCAGATGAGACCACGTTGAGGTGCGGCCGTGCAGCCTGACAACCTCATCGTGACGAAGCTGGCAACAGACTACCACATCATCACCTTCCGCGACCACGAGGTGCCATCCGTTCCGCTGTAAAGGTAACCCGAACCCGATGGAAGTTTGTGACGCTTACCGTGCGTGTTAAGCCCAACGTTTGGAATCCGTCTAGGTCTAGTCCTCATTCTACCTTCCGTCCTTGTGTCTGTCTGTCTGTCTGTCTGTCTGTCTGTCTGTCTGTCTGCTGCTTCAGAAAAAGTTCATGATGCATTATAATTACTATAATGTACCATAATGTGCCTAATATTATAACATATTATATTATAGTATACCTTAGATATACGATAATATACTATAGTATACCTATGTACTCGCTGCCAGCCTCAAAGTTCCGCATGGCCTCCCAAACCCAGCCTCAGAGCCCATTAGATTCTAACGTACATGTGTATACTCCCAAAGGCTCCATGTAGCTATATAGTATATACTTGGGCCTTAAATTAAAGTAGCTATATGTGCAACCATTTGGGCCTTATATACCTGCTTGGACCTTTTGGGGCTAGCATTTTCGTGCCGATTACTGGCTATGTTCCCTCCAGGCTCAAGTTCGCTGTTTGGGTTCCGCTCTGCAGCGCGCGGGCGTGGCTTTTGGGTCGCGGGCGGGAGGCCCAGCAGTTGTGCCCTCTTGGGTGAAGGGTAGAGGGGTGAAGGATCATTGTATCCTAACGAACCCAGGTTCTAGAGTAGAGGCCCTTCAGGGGAGTTGGAGTAGCTTAATTATGGGCATCCAGAGCTAATGGGCTGAGGACATCTAAAAATGGTAGGAGTGGGAGGGGCTCGCAAGGAACAGCAGCTACTTGTTTGGTAGGCTCTGCGCCGCGCCATCTCTGCAAACAGTTAAAGACTTCGGTGCGCAATTCCAGAGGCGTGAAAGGAGTGCAGCCTTAAACTCGAATCTACACAAATGCCAGCTTTAGGTTGGGGAAGCACAGTAATTGCTGGCTGGAAGTCAGGTCGGATCACTGATGTGGAACACGGCATGGCACACGCAGCTATACCACGCCACGGCGTGTCTCGGCGTGGTGCTGCACACAGCCAACCTGCGCTTGGGGCCGAAAGACTTGACCTACTGCATTCGTCATGCCCAAGATCAGATCATGTTTGTGGACGCCGATCTCGTGAAGCTCCTCGCAGCGGTGGAGGCACCCATTTTGAGCGACATCCAGCTCTTTGTCATTGCTGGTGAGGATGCAGTGCCCGGAAAGTTCAAGATTCCCCAGCAGATCCCTTCCGAGCGGGTCCAGGACTTGGCAGCCTTTGTGTCGACCAGTGTGGCATCCTTCGAGTGGCCAGACTTCAAGGAGACGACGCTGCATGCCATTTGCTATACCTCTGGCACCACAGGGAATCCTAAGGCAGCTGCATACAGCCACCGCTCGACATACCTGCATACTATAGCAGCCGTGGGGGCCGACGCGCTGGGTCTCAAGGGATCCCATGTAGTGCTCCCCTTTGTCCCTATGTTTCATGTCCTCAGTTGGGGTGTTCCTTTCATGGCGCTGATGTTGGGCACTCGCATGATCATGAACAACCGCTTCATGGACCCAGCCAGCCTCCTTCAATGCTTCGTTGACTGGGAGGTGCAGCTGAGCACAGGCGTGCCAGTTGCTGGGTTGCTGTTCAGGAACTTAAATTAAGATACCATAACGGGTATACATAGTAATTATTATGGTTTCCCCAATATAGCAACTTAAATTCATGAATTCAGTTATACATACCCATTATAGTAACTGAAATTAAGTTCCTTAACAGCAATTCAGGTTGTTTGGCAGGGTTTGAAGGCCGCCATCGAGAAAGTGGGTGTGGAGCAGGCCTGCCTCGCAGGTAATCCCCAGCGTGAGATATTGAAATGGGGATTGTCCTAAATTACTGTCAATACGGGGTCCTATATTTGAGTTTCTATTATAATACGGGGCCCCACATAGATTTCCCCCATTTTGGGAACAGTATTTTGGGCCTATCCCCATATACCTTAGTATAGTATAGTGTACTATAGGCTTGCTATAGTATATTGTAGGTATACCATAGTATATTAAAGGTATACTATAGTATATTATAGGTATAGGTATACTATAGTGTAGTATAGTATACTAGAGGTATACTATAGTATACTATAGTATATTACTAGATTGTTCATGGGCTTCTCAAGCAGGTGGTCTTCTACGGTGTCTGCATCAGAACAATATCCTACTAATGCTGGGGCAGGGCTTATCAGTATGTTGGGGCAGCTTTGGTTTGTTCGGCCTTCCACTGGATGGATGCTACAGAACAAGGGGTTGATCAAGACCACATACCTGAATCCCAAAAGTATATAAAATAATTGCCTTTTGGGCTATTTTGGGCAATTATTTTACCTACTTTTGGGGTCTAGGTAATGGCCCATACCTTGACAGGGCATGTTGCTCATTCCCAGTGCCACGATCCAGCTTGTCCGAGCTCGAGGATAGTCAGTCGTTGGAGAGAGCCCAAAAAGACCCTTCTCGTTCAAGAGGCTTACTTTCAGGTCGCCCCTTGAGGTGTCAGGAGGCTAGTAGCTTCCATTTTCTTTTCCATTATCCCTATATAACCCCAATATACTATTGTAGTTTCCATTTTCTTTTCCATTATCCCAATATGTGAACTTTCGTAAAAACCAGGATGCCATCAAGCAGAGAAGATCCCACCAAGTGCCCTCAGGTGCACCGGTGTCCCTCATGAACTGGTACAAGGACACCTCGTGGGCTCCTTTTTTTTAAGTACCCAGCGCTGGGTTGACAAGATCCTAACCATCAGTCTAAGTAACCTCCAAGAGGGTCCTGGAACATGCCTTGACTCCTTCCCCTATCTGTACCTCCACCCCCGCATTGAAGCCCGAAACCCCCGGAAGGGAACTAATGCATGCCCATAATCCCCATATAATCCCTACATGACCACTAGATCATCCGCCAAGAGCCGCTAACCCAGACCGCCTAAAGGATCCAAAACATGGAGCCCCAGAATGATCCCCTAGTTTCCCCAATGT